AATGTTCACTTACACAAATAACGGCCCTATTTTCCTATTGTAATATTAACTATCCAATTTTCGAGAAATGTATTTCTATGCATAGCATATTAGTATTATTGCTTTAGGCGCCTATTTCAATCCTAGGTAAAAGGTTCATGTCGTTTCGTTGTAACCCCGATAGGAACTTGTAAAAACGTACATAATAAATCATTTTCATAGGAGCCTTTTAGATTAAAAGTAACGAGAAAAAAATATTTTTTAAATCCAAAGTGTATTTTTAAACTCCACGATTTTTGTGGGTTTCTTTGAAATGGTTTTTCGGTCGTGAGATACAGCCTGCTATATATAGGTATCTAATCCGATATTGTATGATGTTAACAATTTGTATAAATTGTATTCACATTTCACACCTACTACCTATACCATGATATTTCAATATTTCATAGAAAATAATTTTCCGTAATGGAATAATATTCAGAATTCCCTATTCAGAAATTATTTTTGCAGCTACAATAAATTACATAGTTCATTAAATTGCTTATCGATTTTTATTCAACGATATTTTATCTAATCAATAGGCATACTCCGATACTCGATATAATCACGAAAATATATACGACTGGAAGTTCCAACTGTGGTTCCACGCAGGGAATACCACCTGTATAGATAAATTTAGGAATAATATTTGATATCGTAACGATTAAATTCCAAGACACTCATCGGCTGTCTGTACTGTGACCAGACCACTGCTCGCTGTTCAGTTGTATTTCTGCCTCCTGGCTCTTCCTTCTTCTTTGCTTTCTTCTTAAAATTTTCTATTTGATCAAAACTAAAGAACGTTACTCAAGTATTTTTATTTTAGATTAAAACTTTTGTTTAATAAAAAAAGAATCTTGCGGAGTTTTACGAGTGTTAAGTCGTAGGGCCGTAGCCTTTAGGCTTTCTACCAGTAAACCACATATTTTATTTTTTCGACTTCAACACTACTCATCAACAGGTCAGTTTATTATTTTATATTACCTATATATTAAAAAAAGAATAGTTAAGTGAAAATAGTACCTACTAACAAGATATTATTCATTCGATTTTAGGAAATTATTTTTTTGTATATCACAATTAATATATTATATAAGTACATTATTTGTTTAGATAGGTTAGTTCTTAGTAATTATTATATAGGTATATATTGTATAAGACGAGTATAATGAAGATGTGCTTTCTGTTATATGCCCCCTTCTGTATACAATATATACCTATTATTATATAACGGTTAGGTCCTACTCATGGGTTTTTTTTAAATGTATTTTTATTTTAAATTTTGTTTGATTTATTCGTAAAATATTGCTAATATGCAAAAACTCAAAAGTTAGACCTTCTTATATTTTAGACGATTTAAAAGATAACAATTTTAATGCGACAATTATTTTGCATGGAATCTTGGCCCTAATTATTTTGTGTACCTAATTGTAAATCTTTTAAACAAAATAAGAATGAATTAATTTTAATAAATTATATTTATTATTTTATCTTGTAGACTGTAGTTCCTAAATCTGTTTTATTTTTAGTATTGATATAAAAATGTTAATTTATTTGAATCTTAATAAATATATTAGGTATGTAAGAAGGTATTATCTAAGTATAATTTATAAATTAATACTAAGTTTGAATTTATCATCTAAAAATCTTACAAGTGAATACAATACCGCATGTGTTGTCTCCGTCTTACAAACTTACAGCAAGGGAAATTTGAGTTCAGCCTTCAGCAGAACAAATTTTTTGTTATGAGCATTAATATCAGAATGAGTAGGTCTATTTTTAATTTTATAAGTAGAACATCAATATTATAGGTAAGAACATATTTTGCTGGAATGTACATATTTAATTTTTTACGATATACTTATTAATTTTTAGGGGGTTTTACTGGGTTATGAGTACCTACCTATTTTTAAATTTTCAATATTTTACACAAGTGCACAGAACATGCCCAAAATTTAAAGTACCTTATAAACTAACACACATACACAGATAATGTTCTTACCTAAGTTTGATCCAAATTAGTAATTACTAAGTCAATTAACTCTTATAATAAACCTAACTTTGATTAAGACTGTTGACTGCCGAACACAAATTTGCTGTTATACATATGTTTGTAGGACGTAGACAACACACGGGGGTGTCGTGTCCTCTTTATTAAGAAAAAATTTAAAGTACTTCCATAAAACAATATTAATTTTTTTTTTATTATGTATTGCATAGTTAATTACCTCTCTTCATCTTAAATATTGAATAGATGTATAAAATTAAAAACACTTCATCATTAAAATATTTATTTTTACCTAGTAGATATACCAGTGATTTTTTTTGTTTTAAGCAATGATATAATTTGAATGGTTCATTATAATTAGTTAATATAATATACCAACTGTATTTGTTAATTAGGTAATTACTAAATATTTATTTATTTCATGTATATAATAATATATATTAAACCCATAAAATTAAGTAAACTAGGAATTGAATTAGGTACCTACACAAGCATTAAAGATAATTCCAATAAATCATAGTTTGATGGTAGTTATCTTTGTCTCTCATAGTATGTAGATAAATAATAAATAATAATTGTTATAACTTAAAACCATGTAAATGTATTACCTAAAAGTTTGACAAAATATTAGTCTTGATTCTTGAGTGCATTTAAGTTCTATTCTAATACCTATGCTGGGTTGCATAAACAATTTATTAAATTTAATGGTTCTCTAAAAATTTATTGGACCAATTACGGGCCACTAAAACTTGTTTAAGCGACTATTAGCTCACTATTGATTCATTAAATGTTTTGTGCAATTCAGCACTAGAGTATAAAATGTTCCCATTAATTAACTATTTATTTTAACTATTGATCTATAAAAATGTGTTATTGCGAAAATTACTGAGGTTGGTCCACTTATTAAAATACATTAATGAGTTTATGAGGATCACACTGTTGTGTGAAAAATAAAATGAGAAATGTAGATAGGTACTTGTCGGTTATCCCTAATCTACAAAAAATTTTCCACTAAATTTATTTCTTTTATTGTAACTATCACAGGTTAACACTATGTTATATTATTTTAAGACAATTTTGTAATCTAAACAAATAAAATAAGTAGGTTTTCCCAACCTAAAGCGTACAAATGTGATGTACGATTGCCAACAAACCGCATTCCCTGTAACGGGCATTTTCACCTAAAAAATCTGGGATTAATTTTTCACAGAGTATTTTCCATTGTATGTCATCAAATATGGGTCATGAATTGAAATTATACTTTTTGAAACAAATATTTTCGAAATGTAATGTATAATACATGCACATGTGTTTGTTAGTTGGCATATACTTTCCCCTTTTAGTTTTAATGGGCAGATCTACCTACTTATATTATTTTTTTTTGTAAATCACAAATTCACTTAAAATAAAATAACAACTGTTAACCTGTGGGCAAGGCTGGATTAAGAACCTATTGGGCCCCGGGGCTGAATTTTCATATGGGCCCTTTTGACAAAACATGCTTTACAAAGCCGCTCGCTATGTGGCAGGAACATAAAATTTTCTAACTATTTCACAAATTGACAATTGCATTATAAAATTATAAAATTGATAGGTAATTGTAATTTATAAAGCTACTCATTTTATTGCAGTATAATAAAAGTTAATACTTCATATTTCATTAATTTAAATTCAAATTTTCATAATAACTTTTTAATTTATTAACAGTATACTCATTTACAATAAATATCTAACAAAATCCATTTAATCAAATAAATTTTTTTTTTGCATTACTTGAAAATCACAAACAAATCATTCTCAGAATGTAAAATCATTTGTATATCTAAGTTTTCTTGGGTTTGACTGGTTATATACTTAATTTTTACTGTAGTTAATTTAGAAAAAGCCCTTTCCGTACATAAATAACATTATTAACTATTGATGATATTATTGATATCAATGAAAATATTAAATAACAGTAAAATGTGTCTTTCTTACCACATAGTGCTTTTGTAGGTATTTACTATTTAGTTGTTTTTGTCGATAAAAAAAAATGGTTTTTAAAATGTAGAAAAACTTTTCTTTAAAATCACTAAAAAATGTGTATCAGCTTAAAATTGTTTGGGCCTCTTTCATTTTGGTACTTAAGAAGGCCCCGGCTAGACCCCCCCCCCCCTTAATCCTGCCTTGCCTGTGGATTAGTCCATAATACCAATAACAGAATACCTTACTGTAAAATCATTATTTAGGTTATTGGTACACAATAACCGATAAGTACCTACATTTTGAAACATTGTGACCGCTTTAAAAAGTATATAATATGGGCGGTTGACTAAATTAAAGTGAAATTTTTCAATAGAATTTTTTTACTGTATTATATTATCTTTATAACTGTACAATTTTTTTAAAAAATTTTAAGTACTGCCTTTTAATAGAATGCTGCAATAAATTACTATAAGTGGAATATAATAAGTAAAATTTATCTTACGATTAAATATGAAATAGTTCCATTAAATTACCTAATTTTTCAAATGTAAATAAAAATAGTGATTTATCGATTCCTTGTAAATTAAATTGAAAATATACATTAAAAAGAAATTATTATAAATACATTTTTTAAATTATCTTAAAGATTACTACGATAAAAATTGTAAAGGTAGGTTCAAAAGTACCTCATTAGTATTATTTATGTTATTCTTTCTTTTTACCATATATTATTATGTTACCTAATTCTATGAGTATAATGGGTACTAATATTATTTTCATTAAACATTTTTAACAACTTATTATGTAAAAATAAACCATTAATTACATTTACAATATTGGATGTTTGGTAAGCAAAAATACATATGCTAAACATATTAGGTAAATTTTATTTAATTTTAATTAATCAACAACATAAATCATAATATTTGTGTAAATGTGTTAGGTAGTATTTTAAATATTAATATTAAAATTAAATCTAAATAATCAAATACTTTTGTTACAGGACATCATGACTTTCCCTACTGCTGTAAAAAAATCTGGACCTCTTACAATCTCCAAGGCCGGATCAGGATCAAAGACTTTATCACCAGGATCTCCTAGATCACCCGGGTCTCCTCTGAATGCTCCTGCAAAGACGATACTACCTGGATCTTCTAAAGCACCACTGGCTAGTAAAGCTCCTGAAAAAGTCAATGCTGTATCTCCTGTGAAAAAACCATCTGCTCCTTTGAAAAGCTCAACTGTTAAATCTGTGACTAAACCTGTTATTGATGCCAAGTTAGAACCTGAAAAAACATTGGCTTCTGCTGCCAAAGGAGTGACAAGAGCTGTGACTAAACCACCTCCACTCACTATCAAAGTAACAGATGCCAAAGGATTGCCATCTCCTAAGACTCCAACAATATCTTCGATAAAATCTCAAGCGTTGACCAAGTCCCCATTGGCGACTAAGCCTGTATCAGTTTCTAAATCAACTTCGGTTCCAACTGGAATAGTTAGATCACCATCAATTACTAAATCTGTTACTTCGCCAATCACTAAATCTCCTCAAGTAAAGTCAACTTTAACAGCAAAAGCAACTTCTCCAGTTGCTAAATCTCCAACATCAGTAATGTCTAAAACGTCAAATTCTGCCGTCCCAAAATCGCCAATGGGGCTCACCAATCAATCAGCTCTCGCAGGAAAGTCTGCAGCTTCTGCAACAGTTAAAGTGAGCGCTACATCATTAAAATCAAAAGACCAAGCAACTATTGCAAAACCTGTGGTAGTTAAAAAAGCAGCTATATTATCTGTAAAGAGTGCTGCAGGTGTTAAAAGTCCGACTATACCAACAAACAAACCACCAATGATAGCAAAAAGTCTATCCACAGCGTCTAGCATAAAATCAATTTCTTTGAAGGCACCTACTTCTCCTTCAAAATTATTGACCAAAGAACCACCTAGCTCTGCAAAAATATCTTCTTTAAAGTCTACTAACAAATCCAGCGTGGTTTCCAAACCAAATCCAACTTCTTCAAAAGCTATTGTTAAAAAAGAATCCAGTTCTTTATCACTACTATCCGTGAAGTCTTCTTCGACAATAAAGTCTACTACTACAGCTGTGTCAAAAACTACAACATTGAAAGCCAATGTTACTTCAGTTGCTAAGAATTTGGTTCCAAAGTCGCCAGTAGCCAAAACAAAGCCGTTAGCAGTGGTAAAAGTTCCATCATCACCTACAGTGAGAACACCACTGTCATCAAGTGTAAAAACTCCATCATCGCCAGTTGTAAAAGCGTCAACGTCTCTAGCCGCAAAAATTAAAACTCCACAATCACCAACAGTGAAAACTAGAACTCCTTCACTGTCGTTGATAAAACCACCTTTGTCACCAGCAGTAAGAAAAATGGTACCAACCAAATTGATTTTAAGCCCTGGACCATCTAAAAGCCGGTCACTTTCATCTTCTAAACTTAATTCAGTTTCAACTGAAAGTTTGGCTTCGAGGACATCCCTGAAATCTCCAATGACTCCTAGACCCACAAAAATGGTTACAAAAAGTCCATCAAAAGTAATTAAAAAAACTGAAGAACCAAAAGCTAAAGGTATTCGTGGCGGACAACCTATTAGGAAGACCATTGAAATTCCAGGAATAACTGAATTACCTACTAGTTTGGTTCCAAGCCAACAAGAAACTCTTCAGTTCGATTTTGTATTAGAAAATGCAGTTGAAAATGTTTTGAATGAAGAAATCGAATCCATAATCACTCAAATACCAGAACAAGATTCGTCAGAACTTGAGAAATTAGAATCTCCCAAAATGGTTGAAAACATCGATGACGGCCCATGTTTGGCTAATGATATTGTCAACAAAGAAAGTGCACCTTCAAACATCGTGGATGCTCAAAATGTCAGTCCGTCACCAGAGGTCCATGAACATAATTTAGAAACTATCGAAGAGGACTCAATAGAACCTTCAGCAATGCCGTCACTCAATGAACAGAACCAAGAAGACGTTTGTATTCCATCAGACTTTGAAGTTGTGACGATGGATGAATGTGTACCGCATTTAAATAGCATTTCTCACTCTGCTAATAATTGTGGTATTGCTTTTGATGATAACCATTTTAATACAACAAACGAAAATGTTACTATAGAACAGTCGGACGAATCGCAATCATGTATCATAGATATAGATGATCACTTTGAACCTATGAATGACAAATTGGTTCTAGGAGACGTGCCATTTGAAACCGATTCAAGTCAAGATGAAGTTTCTGATAATGAACAAACTGTTCAGATGGAAGTAATCAAAAATGAAAACTGTGATGCAGAACAAAACGAATGTGTTGATGATGTGTTTACATTCACAGACAATTCAACAATTAGTAATTTCGACAGTTCTGATAGTACTGAAAATTTCATTCATCAATTCATGCCAAAATCAATTGAACGGTCAGTAGGTTCATTATCTATTAGTACAGACGACGAAAGTCTTCTTAGTCGTAAATCTTATTCTGAAGCCGTTTCGGGATCACCTAAAGATGGTGAATACTATTTCGACTATGATTTTGAAATGGTTGATGACTGTTTGGAGTATGATGATGAGGGACGAACAGTATTTGTCGAAGTGACAGAAAAAGAATTTCCAGAACTAAAACCAAAAGATTTGTCAGGCAAACGAAGGAGGAACAAAAAACAAAAGAAAAGGAATTATAGTAACCGATCAGAATCTCTATCAGGTAAATATTATTTTTTTTACCCCTTATACCTAATATAATTATTTTAATAATTTATGATTTTTAATGTATGTCGCTTTATTATTTACTTTTTAGATTCAAATGCCGAAATTAATTACAACCCTGAAGATTTTGATGGAAATGAATTTTGTCGTTACATCAAGATGATGAAGGATTGTTCATTTTATCCAAATGGATTATTTTCATCGGATTCAGTCAAATTATCTACTTCATCGTCCCTATCGTGGTTAGATATATCTGTCCGTACAACTGACGATGACTTAACGCCATCTACAGAATACCTAAGTACCTATGAAGTTTTCCAAGCAAGTAATTTGAATAAAGAATTCTTAACGTCAATAATTGGTTCCAACGAAACCACCAGTACGACAACTGAAACTTCCTGGTTTTGGAAATCTATTGAGGGTAAACATCAACCACACAATAAAGCCAATATAACCCTTAGTCTTCAACCAAGGCCTAAGCATTTAACTACACCTCGTTTCATGGTTCTTTTGGCTCTCATCAGCGAGGCTAAAGGTTATGAAATCATACCATCATTGTCCGTGAATTTTGTCACTAAAGACTGCGTGTCCAGATTTGATGAAAAAATTAGACGGCTAATGGTTCAAGGATTTTGGCTTATTGGTCCTTTGATTAAAGAAAGTTTGTCTGAGGACGAAGAAGCGAATTGTGAAAATCCATTTGAGTTTGTTGACGGTGACATTGGCTTATGGTGGGCAGGAATCAACATGTTAGATTGGCAAGAACATTTGAAAGAATGCGGTAGTAAAAACCAAAAACTACCCAACTGTTATCAGTTTGTTGTCGAAAACATAGGTATGACCAGACGCAACACCGCTGAAGCCGAATCAATCATGAACGCTGTACCCGATGATTTCATGAGTGAACTGGATATGGAAAATTTCATTCACACTGTGCGTAATGTCAAGTACTACTGTGGCAACTGTTTTGTGGACAGTGAAGAAAATTTAGAAGCACAAAATGAAGTATTTGAAGATGATGAGGGCGATCTCATAGAATGGGAGAAAAACCCTGTTGAAAAAATTGCTGTCGACCAAATTTAAATACTATAGTATTGTTGTTAAGAATTAAAATATATATATATAAATTTACTATTAAGTTCAAAATATTTAGTAAGGTAAATAACAATAACAATTTAATGACAAGAATTCAAATTTATGTTTTAACGTAACTTAAATAATTTAACATATATTATGTATTTTCTTCATTTAAATTTCTAAGATGGAACTATAGACTAAGTATAATGATAAATTATTGAAATATATTAATATAGATAATTAATATTGTTATTAATAGTATAATAATATTTTGCATGTTTAACATATTTTGCCAAACAGGTGAATTGTCATACTTTGACTTAATGAGTTAATTTTTAAACACCAAAATATTAAATAGCAATAATTCAAATTGTGTATAAAATAAACTATTTATTATGTTTAATTATATTGTGTTGAAATTTTTTTAACAATCAAAAGCTTAATAGTATATTTACAAGAGAAAAAACAACGATTAGCCAACAAAAAATTGAGTGTTACTATGAGAATCAATAAAAGATTTATGTACACGTAAATATTTTATAGGCATTAAATAAAATTAATACATAGGTGTAATAATAACATAACATTGTGTAAGGTATAAAATGTCGTTAGTGATTACGTTGGTTTTCGAGTAGTTTTTCCTGCAAAAAATAGGAAACATTGATTTTTGTTTAACCTAACAAATAAGTAATAACTTATAATTGTATTATAATAAACAAACAGATTATTGATTACAAAATTAAGTATCACAAAACAATTATTGTTACAGTCTGATTAGAAATAATCTTTAACAAGTTTTAGTTTGATATGAATAATTTTAACAAATTTTCTGCATTCGTTAATTTTTACTTCCGCCACAACACTAATAGTTAGTTGGTAAAATAGAATAAAAATGATTGAGATTAATGTTAACAAAATGCATAATTGTGTTATTTAAGTACCAAATACAAATTAAGTACAAATTAATAAAAAAAATCTATACAATTATTTGGTAAAAAATAAAAATATATACAAAGAGGAGAATTTTTCACATAATATTAAAATTAATGTATTTCTATGATTTTATTATTAACCTATTAAACACCACATTTTCTTATCCGACACCATATTATTTTAAGTTTTAAACTGAAACTACAATTTAAACAAATATTCTATAGTATGAACCGGTCTGTTAAACATTTTATCAGATATTATACTTCAAATATATGCTTCAAAACTCAAGATACAAAAATAATATAATATTGATTTAACAATTAATATTGGTATTTCAAGTTTAGTTGCAAGATTTTATCATTTTATAACATGTTATGCATTGAAAGATATTTGCTTGAATTGAAGTATAGTGGTATAAGAATAAATAAGTTTCTTAGTTATTTCATTATAATAAAATAAAAATTATATTTTTGTTAACTGAAAAGTAGCTATGAAGCAAATTGAAGATAAAAAAATTATATATTTCTTCTATTGAAATAGAATATAACATATTATATGATTATAAATGTAAGCAAGTGGGAATTTATTTTGAATAACATCCACATTAAATAATTAATACAGAAGTTTTCGAGTTTGGATAATAATATAATAGTTAAATATTCACTATCAGTTTTTTCCTTGGTGGTTAATTTTAAATGAATTATTTTTAAAAGCAAAATTTAAAAAAAAACTAAAATAATAAAAAAAAGAATTAACAAAGTACATAAGTTACTAATATTATGTTTTACGAGGTATTTCAATTAAGTTTATTACTAATTCTAATTGTATTATCTAAAATATATTAGGTTTAATAAATACAACTGTACAAGATATACATATGTGATGGATTAAAATAATTATAGAAAATAAATCAATACAGTTAATAAGCTTTACATTAAACAAGTGTGGTATACATTTTACAAATATTTAAAGTACATACAGCAAATGTAACATACGTATAACATACTATACTCAATTGAGTAATAATAAAATATTTTAACCATTATTTCCTATTTAAAACTCTAAAAGGTTTAATATTTATTAAATTGTTTAGGTATAATTGATAATTGTATAAAATGTAGAGCCACTTTTTACAGCAAACATGTACTGTGTAAAAAATCAAATATTTTGATTATTATTCTAAAATTGTCAACATATATTGGGTAGAAGTTAATGATAAAATCCATTCAGTTAAAAATAACTAAGAGTTATCAGCATCAATTACATTTTGAAGATCTTGAAAGTGGTTCGTATCTTGTGTTTGGACATTTGTTGTTTCTGCCTTATATAAAATATCATGACACAATGGACATCGATCCTAAGCCAAAAAATTAATTAAAATTACATAAAAATAAAATAAATGTTTATACAACTTTTAATTAATCTAATAATTGCTATAAGAATCAAGTTTGTAATGGAGGCTAGACCATTATATTAGGGAGTCTAGTGAAGTACTTGGATAAAAATATTAATGTACTTCTTAAACACTCAAACACATTTAAACACTTCCAGAAAGTTTTTGTACATAAAATCAAATACTTCTATTGTCTGTTAGGACCTAATTTTATTTATTAAACCACAAATGGTTTTTTCTAGTGTTTCAATATTTTTCACTTTTAGGGAACCGGTGTTGGTTTTTCTAATTTTCAGCAATTCTAGAAAATTTGAAAATTATACATTATATTTTATCTGCCGCCTTAAACTACTGCCCGATACCAATTTTTTTTTTTTGGGGGGGGGAGGGGGTAATACTGTCTATTATATCAACAAGAAAAATGACTTCAAAGAAATAACCATCAGGCCTTGTAGAATCGTCTTATTTTGATAACTATTTTCTTATCTAAAAGAAGAAGACTCCCTACGTCCTACTTAGACACAAAAATAAAAATAATAAAAATACGTCATTGTAAGATCAATACATTCATCGTTTCACTCAGAATCTAAAAAACTAAAATTGTATTATTCTTGAAGATTTTAGATTATAATGAGATTAAAATATTGAAAAATGGAGTTCAATGCAATCTGTAGAATATTACCTTCTATTAGTTACAATTTATCAAATTTGGATTATTCTACAGAACATGATCATTATTCCCGTAGAGTAGGAAGTGGCCAACCTCTTCCCATATAGTGCCAAATGAAAAAAAAAATTGAAAATGTGCAATAAAAAATCAAAACGGCGATCATAACATTATTTATGTTATTTTGGTATTGGTTATAGCTCCGCCATCCATATAACAATAAATATGAAATAATTCAATGAAAAATACGTACCGTTACTATGAGGTACCTAATAATCAATAATTAAAAAATATTTCATAGTTAGTGTGCCAAATAGATCAGAAGTTACATTGATACCTATCATTAACCGATATATTAGACATGGTTAAAAAAATTTTCTGACAGCTTGAAAGCTTATGCTAATTTGCAACAACATGGATTTCAACATAATCAAGTTAATCATAGGACATAGATACAATATCGTGGACTCTAACTCAGGAGCCCACACACAAAATGTCGAGAGAATGTGGTGGTCAGCTAAATTGGGCAACAAATGACATAGATGAACTGATGAACTGGTTACATTTTTTAGACTCTTACATGGCAGCAGTGGCGCCGAACCCATGTATTAGGTGTGGCAGCCGCCACACCTATTTTAAGGGGTGGGTGTACAACCAAAATTGGTGGATAATCGTAATCCTAAGTGTAAAAAGATATTGTACAAATATAAGAAAGATGACTTCCTAGTGTGTCGCAGCGTGCAGTGTGTACTGTGTGATAATATTAGAAATAGCCAATAACTAATAATTTAATTAATAGTTTTACCATTAAAACATAAATTCTATTTTCAAATTTCTACTTCAGCATCTTGTCTGATAGGGAAGTGAATCAAGTTGATACTTTGTTGAGTCAAAAATCAAAAGTAAAAAAGTTCACAGTAATTTTCAAAAGCGTCGTGAAAAACAAAAAAAAAATTAACAAATATAAAAGTAATTTTTATACAAAACCAGTTATCGACAAAATCGATTGTGTTTTTCTGTTGTAACCTCAAAAATGACTAACCGTAAAAACTTTATATTTTAACAAAATTTTTATATAATATATAAGAATTTTCCTGAAAGATATTTCCTACAAGATATTCAAAATATATAGACTCTTTTTGAGCATTAAACATTTTTATTTTTAATTATCATCGATAAATAATTTTCTCTCTCGGTCAAGTTGAACACAGATCCACAATATATTATTTTCAATATGGGTCTAAAGTTGAAACTTAAACAAAATTCATTTAAAATTAAGAAAATTAAAAAATTTTCGACTGTCTAGTGTCTACCAAAGAAAAGTTAAAAGAAAACCTTACCAGAAAGTCACATTAATTTGTGTTGAGACTTAACTAGATAAATGTATGTATAAAATGTATGCTGTATGATGTCAAAAAATCATTGGGGGTAAAATAAATGTTACCCCCTCTCGAATAAGTAATTGGGGCAACACTGAAAACTATATGCCACGGTCCTTACAAAACATAAGCTTTAGGTTATCTACATCGTGGGCAACATCTTATAAGTTTATTCATATTATAACCTCCCTGCATGACGAGCAAACAATTTTCTTTCACTTTTTTTCGCCTAAAATTCGATTTCAGACCACTGTGCGTCGCCTACGACTGAACACTGAAATAACTCATTTTCTGCCCTTTCCACATAATATACCCAATACCTATTACCAATATTACCTACCTACTATTGTCAATAACTTCAGTGACGTTATATATTTATAATTATTATTATATTATTATTATGACGCATAATGACCTAGATGTCGATGAATTTAAGATCAATAAAAAAAAAAAACTCTGTCGTACAAAAAATTGATAATATTATGCTGTGGTGGCTAGTACATAAAAAATAAATATAATATTATGTGTAATATAATAATAGGTTAGGTTAGGTTAACTGCTGGCTACAAATATTATTATTATTATAATAGGAAGCTGGTGACTAGTATATTGTTTATTGTTGACAACGATTATTATTATACACTGTGTGAATGTTTAATCGAATAGATTTAGTTTATTTATATTGTAATATTTCGACAGTGAATATTGTTTTAATAATTGTATCCAATAAGTCTTTAACTTTTTTGAATTTTGGTATTCATATATAGTGTTTAAAGTAAAGTAATGTTTTCAATTAATTTAATTATTTTTCCTCGACTTAAAATAGCTGTCAATAGCAGTTAGTTTCTGTTTTACCTGCGTTAATATTACTTATAAATAATTATTTAAAATAAGGTAATTATTTATAGGTACCAATGCAGACTCTAAAAAATTTAAAATATTTTAGACATTATAATATCAGGTCTATAAAAAATGTATGTAGGTACTTCAAGTATTTGATTATGATTTTAATTACAACAAAAATATGAAGGTAAATTTAATTCAAAACTGGTGTTGTGTAAATATTTCTGTTTTACCGCTGTTTTTTGTTGCCTAGTTGTTACCTATTATTTGCAATAGTTAAATAGATAGGTATAACTTATATTTACAAAATATATTTTAACCTTGTTTTGAACTTTTAGTTCTTATCTATAAAAGTTGAACATTATATACATTTTTAAATACAAAATAGTTTGATTATGTTTGAGCGATTATGATGGATTTTGTCAAAATTTGAATTTAAAATGCTTATGAAAAAATGTATGTCTTTGTGTTAAATTTTCAAGATTTTGATTCAGCAAAAAAAATTAATTAACGACCACAATTTAAAAAAAAAATCGAAAAGGAGGTCTTATAGTTGTAATTTATCATTTTTGAAAAAATACCTAATAACCGGTACACATTTCATTATTAGGTAATAACTGAACATAAATGGACATATTTAATTTAATTTTTTTTTCATTTATACTGTCACACTCTGTATACTAGATACGTTATACGAATATACATAATTATTAATTTGAATGTTTACATTAAAATTATATTTGACTATGATCCATTGATCCTATACCTAGTTTATTATTTCTATGATTAATTAATAGTTAGGTTAACTGTTTAAGTCTTGCTAATACCTAATAACATAACGTACCTAGTCTAATATATTTTAACTATATTTCCGAAATCTTAATTTTCTAAAATATACAAGTACCTATATTAAAGCCTTTCAAAATCACCTTTTAAATATGACGGTCAAGTAATTTTAATATTTGATTTTATCGATGTGGTAACGATCAACAAATTATTAAATCTACACTAATCTGTATATACTACTACTGTATTTTACTACTCAGTACTATTGCTATATTAAGGATTGTAATATTGTATGCAATTTGTTGACATGTCAAATGTTATAAAATATAATACATTTGCAAGAATTTAAACTGGTAAATATAATATAAACATATAATAATAATATACAATTTAACGTGGATGGTATTAGAGTTCATTGAATGGTGACCTGGTGAATCGCGGTGATTGGACGCAGTCACTAATATAATGTGTGCAGAGGTCGAGCAGGCTCCCAGATGGGTGACCACCAGGGTTCTTTGCGACGATCTATCTGCCTCACATAAAAAACGCGTACCAACCGTAGCCGCCACACAAACCGAATGGAGTGTCAAAAAAACGAAGTTCATTTTATGATTTATTTTTGAGCTTCTCGCATGACATAAAGTGAATTGCAAGTTAAAAATAATGGTGCGGAATATTGTCCACAGTAAAAACTAGCTAATAACAATGTAGCTTGAAGTCTTAAAAACAATGATACTTTAACCTCCTATAGTTATTTACCCAAAGACTTCTCAATTGGCTGTGATGAAAATAGTGTTTGCATATTTTTATCTCCTAGTCAGCAATGTCAAAAAAAATAAAACACTATATTATGTTTCTTTAAATTTAAATAGTATTCATTATAAATGTAGTAAAATGTATAATAGTATAATAATTTGAGATTAATTAATATTTTTTTCTCAAATTAAATCTAAATTGACAATAGTAATGAACACATATTTAAATTATTAAAAAAATAACCGTCTGGTTTAAGTCGTGATAAAATGTATTTGTTGTAATTTGTAGGATGATTTATCGGTGGTGGGTTATTGGTGGTTGTTGGTTGACATCCCACCGCTTGATGCCCGATGCCAATTCTATTACTATTATACAGACAGTATCCATTGTAATATAAATATTGATATACTTCAGAGTTTAAATTTTAGGATCAGATTATCAAAACAAAATACAAACGAGTCAACGCGACTAGTAACTGTCCTTGTAATTCTCTTGTGTTCTTGTAACCTAACTATTAATATATTTTAATTTATTACTGGATAACATTTTAAGATATTTTATTTTAAAAATCTTTATCTAGATATTATTTTAGTGAGCTATTCCCAACACTGGAATCATTTCGCTTAAACATTTGATATTAATTTTTTACGATGGATATTCAACAGTTAGTTAATAATTTCTCCTCAAACGATTTTTTATATTTTGTTGTAATTCAAAAATAAACTATAAATAGATACTTCAATTTTTCACCAAATGATTATGATAAAATATTACAACTGTCTAAAGGTACCTACATGATGAAATGTTCAAAATATTTCTACTTTTTTTGACCTATTTAGAGACGGGTCTAAAAGCTTAAACAATTAATACAAGGTTCCTCATAAGTTGTTATAATAGCAATTTTTAAATAATGAAGATACATCATGTACGATTATTTTTTTTTTTGTAAGCATTTTAAGTACAGATTTTTACAAAATTAGTCAATATACCGCGAACGTTATTTTGGTTAAAAATTTATAAAATGTTCAATTTTTATAGCTAAAGATCGGAAATTTAAAACGAGATTTCTCATGAGTGGGTAATACTGTTACCAAAAATCTAAAAAATATATAAGCACAGTTTTTTTTTATAGAAATTTTAAGTTGAAACTTAGACGAAATTAGACGTTTTATAATGCAATATTTTACTATTAGTAAAATGAGTTACTTAAATAGCTGTAAATTGTAATATAAATATAACTTTATAATATCATCTAGATAGCTATATTTACCAATATTCTACTATTATATGTATAGCAATATATAAGAATCAGGTGAAAATTACATTGGAATTGAAACTAAAGCAATTATTTATATTTTTATTTAATATAGGTATTACTATAGTACATTATACTCAAAAAATATTATGCAAACCATTAACCAAATAATATACATATATTTACATGGGCATAAGAAAAAAAATGTAATAGTTCTATTTATTACTGAATGATATGATGTACCTACCTAGCTAAAAGCTTAAATAACTAAATCAGTGACTGTGAATATCGTTTTTAGATGATAAAAACTTGATTTTCATTTTGAGGAGGCTTTTACTGGAGATAATCTTAACAGTAATATGTTAAAATATTAAATAATGCTATATTGTAGACATAATGCGGTAAATATTATAACTTGTAAAAATATTTTTTAGATTAAAAATTGGTGGGGCGGAGGTTGCTCCCACGACTTAGTTCTAAATTCTAATAGCCAATATCCAATGGGGGAGGTGGCTATATAAGTAATTGTTCATTGCCACACCTAAAAAAAAATAGTTCGGCGCCACTGCATGGCAGAATTTATGTGGCGATCAAAACAATTTAGTGATCATAAGAGAAACCTCGAGGAAACCATAAACATTTTTATAATTTTTTTGATTTATCATTGTTTTATACCTACTTATACGATATATTTATTATTATCATTTTTTAATTTTAATTTTTTAATATTACATCAATATATCCGTCATAAAATTATTATTACTATGGAATCAACAAATAAACTCATTATTTTATATTTGTACGATGTATTTATTGTTATATGGATGGCGGGGGCCGCGGGGCTATAACAAACCTGAGTGGTGGGGCTTTAAAGTTTTCACTGCCGTGGCGGGTTATAACAAACCAGTACCATTATTTTAACACAATAATTATTGTGTAATACAATATTATTTACGACTTTTTGTGAATTATTTAATATTGAAAAACATAATTTTAGAAAAACTTAAAAATTATATTTTTTTTTTATTTGATGCTAGTGACCTAGTATGCCATTCAATAATAACAATTGTGCCACAGATTGACCACCCCTGCCATAGAGCGTATTTTTGAGGACAAAATTACATTGGCACAGGGCGCCTTAATGTGCCTACCTAATAATCCAAGATTAACTAATTTATTTTTTAGTATAAATGTATTAAATAATTATTCACCTGTACATAGAGCCATTTACGTAGACATACACCGTGGAAATAATGATTGCATTTAGTAATTTTTGCTGATCCCATATTTTGATAACATATTGCACAGACATCATCTAATTCAGATAATTGAACTTTAGTTGCTTCTGGTAAGGATTCAATTTTTTTCACAGCTGTACGGCGTTTAATAAATACTCTCCATCCATCCCTAGCGTCACACCATATGTTGAAATATGCATGTATACACATCATGGATGCACGGACTGCACCACCAGACACAAAAGCCATAATATAAACACCATTCAGAAAAAGAAATATTCCAAAACAGAATTCCACCTAAAATAAAAAAATGTAACCATAATATTATTAAAACAATTAATGTTAAGGATTTCTAAAATTACCGTATTGCCAAATGATTTGATATAGTATACATAATCATCTAATTTTTCCCAAAAAGTTGTGCGATAAGCATCAATTAAGAACAATGAATAGACAGCTAATGATACCAACACTTTTATAATGATTTCAATATTGAATGATGAAACTGCCAGTAGCCATGTACTAACTGAATGGTGAGACCACAAGTAAGTCAACATAGTGATAGGAAACACTATGAGAAATCCACACACTAAAAGAGCTCTTATATGTCTAAAAAATAAAATCAAATAAATTTAAAATCAATTATTGATAATGATTAATATATTACCTATTAAGTGAAGGGTTATGAGAAGCACTCAAAGACATTAATAATGGATTAACCACATTATGGATGTAATGCAGTAGGGCAGCACAAAGTAAACAAACATTACGATAGAGTCTTATAAAGCGCTTTTCTGGATCTAAACCTGTTAGTCCAGTCTGTAAAGCTAGTATATAAAATAATACTGCAGAAATTGTTCCAATGCTTTTGTCATCCACATCATCAGTTAACAGCACCTAAATAAATAATATGTTAAAAACATCTGGAAATTGAAATAAATGTCCAGCATCTTACCCATTGGAAGAATGCTCCTATATAATGACAAAAGTATGACACAAAACTTGTCATTCCTAGAACTGCTGTAAATGTGTCGCATCCTTTAACTAACAAATATTTCACAGCTCCAAACAAAGTTTCATTTTGTATTTCCATATCAGTTAACAGGTATAGAATTTGTTCCAGTACTCGTATGGCCCAAAATATTCGTAGAACACTTGGGATTTTGAGACGAGTCCACTCTACTTCAACCAGAGCAGATATTCCATAATTACTAGAACAAAACATATAGTATCCCCCTTGTAACTGCCGTTTGATGTATAAATTGTAAAAATAAATAAATTAATAAAAATATCAAATGATAGATGTACAATATACATAGTTTACATAAAATATTGAGATTATACTTATTAGTTGGTACTTGGTGCATAAAATTTATATGAATAATATGAATAACTAGTAATAGTAATAATAATGAACAAAATGGGTTTACTTAATAGTTTCTCGTGTACGACTATATCCATGACGAATTAAATTTGTAATTGTAAATAGATTTAACCATAATGTTTTCAGCATAAGAAACAATGGCAATAATGTTGATAGCACCGTTAATGTGTTCAAAAATCCAGGTCTCCACGTACCGGGTAAAAATGCAGCTAACATAGGAATAGTAAAGCTAAAGCTGAAAATCTGAAATATTTAATACATTATTTTTTATTCATATAAAAGTTAAATAAATGGTATAGGTATTTACTTTATGGATATTTTGATTTGTCGTAAGTACTTGTAAACAGTCAAATACTAGTGCTAGAACACACTGTAGGATTAAATTGCGGATTAAAAGGTATAGGAAATGTGCGACTTGTAATTCTGTAAAAAGATATAAAAATCCATCTACATTCCATGGTATATCTTTATCAAATGGATTAGTTTCATAGTTTTCATATTTTGTGTGTACAACTTTCAGTGTTTGTATGTTTGCCCAATAAGAAAGAAGTACAATACAGACAGAAACTAGATGAAAGTACACCATATATAAGTATCTGGCAGGTAGAACAAATAAACATGACGATGAACAAAATACTAGAAAAATAAAAAATAAAAAATGTAATTAACTGATAATATTGTGTTATTATTTTTGTTTGAAAATGTATTGAACTCACTCAAACAGGATACTATAATTTTGATGAGGGATAGAAATATGGCCTTGTAATATTGTGCGGACTCGCCGATCTCAATTTGACTGAGTGTGCTATTTACAAAGTCATTATTTGCTGGGAATACTATATCTGCCAAATCTGGGAACCCAAAACTAGTTTTGAAGAGTTCGTCCATAATGAATATGGGTGGAACCCTCAACAAATTACAGAAAGGCATGATCGCTATAGTTTTGTATATTTATTCTCAAACTATTAGAAAACCTGAAAACAATCACAACAATATTATGAACATATTGGTATTATCAAATCAGACATATTATTAATATGTGAATAATTACTTGGACTTTGGAGGATTACTGAGGACAGATCTACAGCCACAGGTACAGCCAACAGCGAGGAGAAATTATTTGTTGTCAAAAACATGTGAATAATTTATAACATCATGTTGACGATACATTTCGATCAATCAAGGTGATTTTTTTTTCTCGTTGACAAATACATAATACTATTTAATCCCGAAAACATAATGTGCGGCAGAAGAAAGATGGCAATTACAACGGTGAATATTAACGGTAGTAAATGGATAACACTTAAAAGTACGGAAAGCGATTTTCTAGGTATTACACAGCACTGAAGTCAAACATGGAAATATAAATCGTCCAAAGTTACACATCGATTCGAAATCGTATATTATTATTATAGGTAGTCACTGTCACTGTATGAGAATTACGAATTAGCAATTGTGTAATTTATTATTTAATATTTATGATTAGCGATTTGTGATGATATCTAACTCCTTCGCCGCAGCATATTTAGCATATTTAGATGGGATCAGGCCCGCGGCGGCAAGCGATCAGCTGACTGTTATCATAATAATAATATTATCATATCACCACAGTATGGTCATAGACCTTATTGTTCTGTGCTTACTGCTTATACTATATAGCAGGGGTCGCCAACCAGGCGATCGACTGGTCGATCTTTCTAGAATTAATATAGGTCGATCGTGTAATAAATAATCGGATAATATGGATTAGCATATTTTATTCTAGGAATTTTCCATTATCGTTATAATCAGAATTTTTTTTTTTCATTTGAAAACAAAAGCCTCGGCGACTGAGGGTCATTGACTACAATAAATAGGTAGTCAGAATTATTGTGTCAGTTATAACTCGACTGTCAATTATTCGTCACGTGGAAGTGTGCAAAGCGTATATGTTATTACGTTCCAAATTTATTTAGAATTTACAACAAATAAAATGACCTTTTTTTTTTTTTTTTGCTCATAAAGCAAATCTCTTCCTAAAGACCTAAATTCTCCTGGATGTCGATCATCTGGGACTAAAAATGTCAAATGTAGGGAATGTAGCTCACTTGTTTGAAAATGTTGGCGACCCCTCACCCCTGCTATATAATATAAGGTCCTTATAATAAGTATGAGGTCTATGGGTATTAATAGTACATTGTACATTAACCATGAACTAAGATGATAGTTATTTCTTGATAAATTCTGTCTTGAAAAGTACGGGTCCCGGCAACATGTAAATAATTACACACAATAATTGTTCTGTATTTCAGAATTCTGCTCACGAAATAAAACACATTATTGAATCCTGCCCTCTGACCAGTGGCGTAGCCATGAGAGGGACTGAGTGGGCAGCAGCAAAAAGTCTTAAATTGTATTTAATATATTTAAAAATGTACTGTAGTCTATAAGTATTAACACTTTTCAGCTATCTCTCTGTACTAGTACGTATTTAACGTGTAAAAGTGTAAAATTTACCAGAATGTATTAAAATTATTAGGTATAATAATTAATAATATAATATTTTTAAAAGATGACGTTAGGATAGCACTTGTATTTATTTAACTTATATTTATTTCGTGTGCAGAATGGTAACAGGCGTCCCGGCACAGATGATAATATATTAATATACATAATAATTGTCAAGGTTGGGCATTAACGAGTTAATAAATTAAAGTTAAGTTACTTTTAACTAAGTTAATTAACGAGTTACTTTTTTTTTAGAAGTAACTTCTAATTTAACGAGTAACATTTTTCCCCATGTTATTCAGTAACTTAACTAGTTGATTAATTTTATTGGCACGTTAAGTTCATTTTTTCCCAAACCACATATAACATATTTAAAATTAATTCAATTTTGTAAAATTAATTATATAAAAAAACAAAAATAAAAAATTTAAAAACTTACTAAAATTATTTAGTAAATAATGATTTTTAATAATAGTAATTTATTATATTGCACAGTGGCGGCTCGTGGTGTTCAAAGTAGGTGGTGTGCAATTATTGCAAAAGTCTATTTAAAAAAAAATTAGTCTGTTTTAAGTATAAATGTAATCAGTAAAATATTTATTAGCATTTTTAATTTTGAGATTATACAGTAATTTTAGAAAATAATATTACATATTAGTTAGGTATAGCATATTTTATTTATTGTCACAACAGACAACATGTCATAACTAATATTAAAATAGAAAAACGGTGGAGGTTACGTGCCAGTGCAGAGCGGCCATGCGCTGCGTTGATATCTTTCTCTGCGTGTGTGTTTATTGCGTGCGACCGCCTGACGAGTGTGCAACACCAAAGTCACATATAATTGTCAATTCCCCACTCGACGACCAAACGTATTTTACATGGACAGACGGTGTTCAGACTGAGCAGTGAGGTGCACACCAGTTGATGTGTATTTGTTGCATAGCTCGATTACAGTTTAGAAGTGTAATAATAATTGTCGTTTGTTTGTTTTTAAAATTTAATTTTTTTGTATAATAAATACAGTTTAACAGATATTATATAAAAAATTAATTTATTATTGTACATTCTTATTATACATTTTCACTATTATAGTATTATATCTAATTAATCTCTGTGGTGTGCTCACTGCTCACACATGCACACCTAGGCACGAGCCGCCACTGATATTGCATATTCACAGAAAATATTATATACCTAACTATATTATAGTTTCTCATTAATAAAAGAAAAATATAACAATTTACTCAGTACCTATTCCATACACGACATAATATAACCTAACCTATACCTATACCATTATTAATATTATATTTTGTGTTAGCTTTAAAAAAGGTAGGTACTAGGTAGGTATAATTATTTATTTTATTTAAAAAAAAAAAGAAACTTATTTTTAACTAAGTTAGGTATTACTTTTATTTTCTAATTAACTTGTAACTTTAACAAGTTAAAAAAAAATAAAGTTAACTTTTAACTTTAAACTTAACTTACATTTTAGATTCTGAGTGGAGCGATGGATGTATTGATTTTACAATGATGTGTGTTTTTTTATTTTCTATTTTTGTGTCTGTCATCACCTTTTAGGACAGTAAAAGCGCTTGGATTTTCTTCAACAGTATCTTTTCTGATGGGAAAGTGAATCTAGTTGGTACTTTGAGGGGGTCAAAAGTATAGTTTTATCCAGTAGTTTTCAAAAGCATCGTGAAAAATAAAAGAAAAGTTAAGGAAAAACGGGAATTTTTACTCAAAATCTGTTTTCGAGAAAATTGATTTTGGTTTTTGGTGCAACTCTTAAACTAATGACCGTAGACACATGAAATTTCGACTGAATGCTTATATTAGCATTTTCTATACACGATAACATTTTCAAAATATTTTGATTTATTTTGAACTGTTTAGGGACATTTTCATTTTTCATTTTTTTTTATTTTTTTTCTAAAAATATCCATAACATTTTATTTGTTGGTTAAAAAAAGCTTGAAACTTTAATAGAAGGCTAATAGTATATTGTTTCAAAGGCAGATGAAAAGTATTAAAAATTCTTAGTCACATTTTTTTTTTATAAGCATTTAAAGTTCAAAAATTGACAAAATATGGAAAAATCACGAAAATTAGCAAATTATTTTGAGTTAAGAATTCGTAAAAATTTTTCTTTTGAAACCTAAGATTTTAAAATGTAGTACAAGATTCCTTATAAGATTATCTACCTTTATCAAAAAAAAAATGTCTTTAGAAAGTCAAATTATAAATTTTTATGAGCGTTTGAAATTCAAATTTTTCAACATTGGATATTCACTCGATTTCTAATGTAACGATTTCCTTCTTTTGTTGTAATTCAAAAACTAATGACTGTAGATACATGAAAATTTCACTGAATGTTTATATTAGCATTTCCTAGACACCATACAATTGTGAAAATATTTTGATTCTTTTTGAGCTGTTTACGGACATTTTCAGTGTTCAATTTTTTTTATAAGCATTTAAAGATCGAATTTTGACAAAATTTATCAAATTTAAGATTGAATAATTATTTTAAAGGTGAAAAAAAAAAATGTTCAACTTTTATATCTAAGGATTGAAAATTTAAAACAAGATTCATAAATATACCTAATATGATTGTGCCACATGTTCGGGAAAGCGTTCGTCTTACACGTTTAGTAAATAGTTCAAATGACTTAAAATCAGTCGTATTAAAATTATATTTTATTCTACGTAGACTTTTTTCACTATCCTTTTCTTGGGTTTTTCTGCAGCAAGTTACTTTCATCTTGCAAACTTTTTATAATTTATTCAATATAAAAAGTATATAGTTGAGTTTGCTTCAATAATATGTGTGGTCAAAAGAGTTATTGGGACCAAATAAAATATCATCGGTAAAATCGCACATAATCCGGATTTCACTTTATTTAGTTTAATCCGAACTAAAACCTATCTGACAGATTTGTCCGGAATAGTTGCGGCGCCTAATAAACTATGATATTAATAATATTTATGTACAAGTCGATATTATAATGACTCCAATACTAAACATATCAGCTATAAGTACACTGTAGTAATCAATAATTATTGTGTAAATCAAACTACTTTTATAAGTAAAATGGGGGCGGCTGCTCTATGACGTCACGCGCATATTCATCAACTCTCACTATCTCGTTGAATAATCATTTTCAATCATTTTTTTAACTTCGGATTTTTACCAAAAAGATTTTCATGATTTGGACCACAATAATACAACAATAACTTAAAATTAAAAAAAAAAAATGTAGTGTTGCATATTGTTTAAGATAGATAGATCTTAAATCATGGACTGATGACAGAAATTATTAGAGTAGGCAGATACCAAGGTATTTAAATTTATTATCTAGTTTTTAGATATCCGATTCCGAACCGCGTTTATGTAAGTTTGTATTTCTTTTAAAAAAAATCTGCCATAATTTCTCATTTGTATGAAATGTAGGCAGGTATTTTAACAAACAATTAAATGCTTCAAATTACAAAACTATTAGTTTTAACTTTTATTTTTCAATTTTCAATATGTACCTATACATAAAAATTTATATTAATGTACACAATAAATGATAAATATTGATTGTTATTGCAACATAAAATGGACTTTATAAATTACAAATAACCAAGCCTGGGCAAGTTAATGGAAAACATTTTACAAAGTTTAATGTTACGAGTTAACCTAATTTTTTTTCAGTTAAGTTAAAAGTTATATGAATATTTTCAATTACTTTTTTTTTTTGTATAATATCTATATAAATACCCAGTAATATGGTTTAAAATAATAAAAATCATAAATATTATTGAACACAGAATTTTAATTTTTATTATATTTATAAATTAACTTAACTTGAATTTGATTAAAAGTAACTCGTTATTTATAAAGTTTATATCAATTAAAATAAGTTAAGTTAAAAGTTAAAATTAACTTTTTAACACGTTTATGCCAAGGCTTGCAAATTACAGAAAAATATTAATAATAATCAATAACAGTATTAACAACTAGTAAAATATAAACAATCCAAATATCTATTCTGAATAGGTATACTAACAAAATACAAAATTATAGACTATTATATGTAACAAAAATTGAATTAATTACACATTATAAACTTAAAGTTTGCTACTATTTAAGTTTTTTTAGTATATATTTATTGCATTTAATTTGTGCCCTGTATAAAGAATAAGCTCAAACAGTTTTTTGATTTTATTTTAGTAATCATATTTTAGAATCTATCAAATAATATCATACATTTTAGACAAAATACAATGTTTATTTTTAAGTTATAATAATCATATAAATATGTTAATAATTTCGGTTCATTGCTTAGATAGGTAGGTTGATACTCTAATATATTACAAATCAATTATTATAAATGATTTAGATTGATACCATGCACTAAGTTAAGTTAAAGAAATTAAAAATAACTAAAAATTATTGAACACACATAGCTATATAATAATATATTATGTGGTAGCTAAATGTGCGTAGTGTAATTTTATTTTGTATTAACAATATATATTTTTTTTAAATAATTATAATATTAAATTATATAACATATTGGAACTTTATAATAATACTACTTACAAGTTATTCCAGTATAGAAGATACTTTACAAATTAACTCAATTTAGACTAAGACATTATTAAAATAATAAACATTTGAATAATTAAAATAATATATAAATAAAAGTATATTTTAAAAATAATTTTGTCAATGATAACAGAAATTTAATTGTTGGTACAGTTAAATAATTTGATATGTAGTACCTAGTACCCACTTGCATGTCTTACCAAAGACTATTTATTTTTTCATAAAATCCACAAATTGTGTTAAAAATAATTCAAATTTTGTGAACAAAATTCTTAAATAATATTTGATTTTTTAAAACTAAGGCTGTAAATAGCACCGGGCATAAGGAATACACAAATAAAAATTCAAAATGCAATTACAAAATAGTTATTATCTTTGGTTAGAGGAGTATTGCTGATGAAACTAAGTAGTAAAATAATTGTACCTATTTTATTTTTATAAATCTCTAATAATACACAAGAACTTGTTTTTCATCTATAAAGATGTAATTAAAGTTATGAATTCAATCTTGAACTCAATATATGTAAAAACAGTCTTAGCTATATTAGTTAGGTATGAATGACAATTCAATCAAATCAAATTATTCAAGTTTCCTTTGTTGAAACTCAAATAAGACATTGTTATTTTATACTATAAAATACATTATATTAAGTTGAGCAGTCCAAACGGTAAACAGAATAATTTAAGAACAATAAAAAAATAATACAATTTATAAATGACTAAATATTAAAATACACTAATTTAATGTTTCCAATATATTAAATTTACTTAGAATATACAATCAGTTAGTTTACTTGGGTACTTAATTTTATATAATTTAACTATTCATAAAATACATTTAAATATTTATTATGGAAGGAATGTATATATAAATAATTTAATTGTAATCAAAAAGTAAAATGTAAATGGAATATTTTTATGGAATATAACACAATTATTTATAAAAAATACATGTTTAATAGATAAAAATTGTTGAAAAGAATCTTTAAATGTATTCTATTGGTAATATTATTAAATCTGTGTACCTATTAATAAATACGACTTCAGAAAAGTAAAAGATATATAAAATAAAAGTAATTCTACAAAATAGTCATTACTTTTTAGTAACTTAAAAACACCATTAACTAATATAGCATTCACATTATTTATAATTAAATATCTTTATATCTAAGTATTGCTCATGACATTTTAATTAACATAATATTGAATCAAATTATTTATGGCATTATTCATTATTATGTTTGATTTTTAATTGTGTGCTTTTTTTTACTTATTTATAAATTCACAAAGCTGTGACAGCAGAGCTTTTTTTTGATGAGTTGTTATTTTTAGCTAATCTTTTCTCCAAGTCCACTCTAAAATCAAAAAAAAAAAAAATACATTTTAAATAAAATATAAGCAGTAAATGTACAATGAATCAACAAATTAGACTAGTTTAAATATTTTTTAAGTTGAAAACATTATTTAAAAATGTATAATGTACGATTTATTTCATAGAAAATACTACATACAGATATTTAATTTTTAAAGTATTAGGTTTTGGAATGGTTTCGATGTAAATAAGTATATTTTTAAGTTTATAAACTTTGTACACGCATTTTAACTTTTAAGTTAATGGAAATAAATTAAAACTAATGAAATAATTTAGAATCTATAATTTCTGTACAATGGCACAAGCACTCTATTTAATACAATTTCCTATATGACTACATATCAAATAGTAAAACAACAAATAGTATGAAGTGAGTAATATAGTCATATTATTTTACCTTTTTGATTTGTCACTGGATTTTTCTAATTTTTCTAGGCGCTCATTTATTAATGACAATTGAGAGCTATCATTCTGTAAAAAAATTGTATTTAGTTAAATTTGTTCACTGCAAAATAGATTTTTGTAGACATTACTTACAGTAATTTCATTTTTATTTGTATTAAATGAATTTAACTTTGACTCTAATGTTTGTTCCATTAATTTATGTGCTGCTCTTATTTCTTGAACAATATCTAAACAAAAATAACACATTATTATTTATGTATTTTACTGCATACGTCTAGTCTATAAAGGTAGGTGAAGTGATATAAATTAGTAGGGGTGAAAGGAGTATTAGATGTCTAAAACATTTATGATTTCATAATATAAATAATTAGAAGTGGGATGGTATTATTGCTTGAACAATTATTAACTACTTTAAGTACATTTATATGACTGTGATTAAGTGGTATGTATCATACAGGTGTTATGAATCAGTGTGGGTACTGAAAGGAATTTTATGTATTAAGGTTTAAAACTAATGTTTTTCATACCACTGAGACTAAGAAACCTATGGAGCTGTATTTTCAAACATCCATTATTATCACAAATTTCAGTCAATAATTTTATTGAACAAGTGAAAGCTGAGAAAATTACCTATTTAAAACTATAAAAGACTAAATTATGCGCCTCTGCATATATATACATATTTAATACTTCTGAAAATTACTTGTAATAGATCCCGGGTCTGTACAACCACATTTGTCATTATTTTTACTTGATATATCCAATTTCAAATTTCTTAATTCAATTTTCACTAATTCCAACTCATTTGCTAGTCTCTGATTATCTTTTTTCAATTCGGCCACTTCATTAGCGTAATAAGTATCATACGATCCTTGGTCTGATTCACTGCTAAGTAGTTCAAACTTATCATCTTGGTTATTTAAACCTGGATCACTATGTGTACGTTTCATTTCAGATTCGTTATCCGCAATATTAATAGGAGGTAAACTAGTAAATTGATCTCTGGATGACATATGTTGACTGGGTTCTAGATATTCTCTGCCAATACCGACTGGCACATACGGTTGATATATGGGATACAAAGTATGAAAGCGTGGGTCGACAGGTATATTAACTGGAACAGAATAACCACATACAGCGGAGTCTGACATTGTAGGATACAATCGTTGATTGGACACATTGGAGTGGTTCCACTGGTGCGGAGAGAATTCGGATATTTGTTCATTACAACTTGGTGGCCGATTATCAACCTTTGAATTTCTTGATCTTGAAGGTTTGGGTTTTTTTGTAGCATTATAATGGTTTCTATTATTAACATAAGCTCTTTCAAGATTATGGTCAGAAAAAGTGGTTCTGAAATTAAAAGAAAACAGTGAATAGTCATGTATAATAAATACATACGTAAATGTTATTTAAGTTAGTTTTATTGCAATATAACTGTTACCTGTTAGAGTTGTACATTTTATAGGTATTTATGTTGAAATAATAAAATCCAAATTTGTTAACTAATACCTAAAAGTAAAAATAATAAATTCTAATGAATCATTTTATTTTTATATTAAATGAACTGATAGTGTATGATGATTGATGATAATAATTATGATAACACAGTTGATGGCCATGATGAAGAAAATAATACATTGTGGTCAAAATACAATTTGCATAACATAGAAAAAAGTAAAAACTAAATAGCCATAAGTCAATAGTCAGTTAAAGAACCTTCAAGGTAGTTAGTATTTAGTTAGCATAGGAAATACATTAATTTAAAGAACTCTGTGATTAATGTATTATAATATATACATACTAATTTATGAGTGACTATGTGTGAACTAAAGAAATTTTATTTTATTTTTACTGTCTGCAGAAGAAATGTTATTGCTTATTGAATTAATATTTTTAACTATAACAACGTTCTAGTAAAAGAAATAATTATTTCACAAATAAAAAAATAGTAATTTAATAATATCATAAGTGATAAGTAACTAGATATTATTTATTAAAAATATACAACTTATTATATTCTCAATTTTTATTTAAACAAGGTAGATAAATAATAAGACAAAGGATTCCATAAATTATGATTGATTATAAAATGTATTCTGTAAGAACTAGGGGAAAAACTTAAAGAACAATATACCTATATATTAAAAATAGAAACAAGTATCTATAGCAACATATCTTGCACAAGCCCCAATTACTTTATGTGGAACATAAATTGGTTACCTATCTATCATGGAAAGTCTAAAACTTTAAAAATGGATTCTTTCATTTTGCTTGTTAAGTCGGTTTATAGATGATAAAGCAAACAAAATATTTCTAAGTTGAGTTATATATCAATTAAATATACTTTGTAATCTCATTCAATTTATAATAAGGTTTATTTATTATTAAGATATAGGTACATTAAATTAATATGTAACATAAAATCATTTTAATTTGAGCAACTATTATAATATGGAATATAACGTTATATTGACTAAAGTAAAAAAAAATGTTGAAAAAATTAAACAAACTTAAAATAATGACAATAATATTTATTATTTTTTTTGGTAGGTAACAAAAACATTATGGCTAATATGTTTGATGAGATCAAAAATCAATAAGAATTATAAAATTAAAAATAATTATAGAATAAATGACATCATAAATTTAGTTTCCTACGGTGTTTAAATTGTTTTGATTGATAATGTTACACTGTTATTGTATTGTATATTATAATTATACAGCAAGTACCGCTTAATGTGATCACATTTGTTCAGGCAATTTTGATTCTATTAATCAGTTGATTCCATATTTTTTCAATAAAATATTTGGTTTGGGATTTTCATTTTTGATAAATGGTTGATTTTTAAACCAGTGATCACATTAAGCGGAACTCACAGTATTTTCATAGTTCAGAGGTTATCATAATTTAAAACATGACTCAACACCTTAGGATACTCTGTATTAAAACATAATAATAGAATAAGACTAAATTTTTCTATGCCTGAATATTAAGTCAACTTTTAAAGCTAATAACACAACACAACATTAATGTACAATCAATTATTATAAATTTATAATCTAGTATAACAATTTGTAAAACAATAATTGAAGAGCAAATCCAATCAACAATAACATAATAAATAAATTTAAAGTAGCTGACTTATATGAACACAATTATAATAAGGCTCATTTTCTAGGGACTAAATCTTTACTAGTTTAGGGTCTTAAGGACGGATTTACATCATTGCTGACCATTGTTAACTTTTTTTTCTTTTAATCCATTTGTAATTTTTTAAGTACCTACTAATATATATAAAAAAAGCATACGGTTTGACCAATAATAAACTGTTTAGATTCATATTTCAATACTTCATGAATGGTTCTAATTGCGAAATCAAATATCAATACAATAGGTATTTAGTGAATATTCAACAATGATATTCTCAAAAAAACCTGCCAAAATATGCAATAGCTAATACGCAAAATATAACCTATATAGTCATCTAAAAATAAATTTGAATAAATAAATGCAAATAGTTTAGTTGAAGCCTATAAAACCAATTTGGAATCTGCATTTGTAATAAGTTTATAATCTTTAAGAGCTTTCAAGAAACTGGAATGTTTGTCAATGAAATGCTAATGAGACATCAAACAAATAAATACTAATGGTAACAAGTTTTCCAAATGTAAATATAGCTTTCAGAATACACTTATCAATTTTTGGTACTTCGCAAGAAAGGGAAAGATCCTTTTAAATTTTGCAGAGGGTTAAGAATTGGCAGGGATCAACTATTGGGGAAGACAAATAATTATCTTCTTTATTAGTAGGTACTTGAAATTGAACACAAATTGCTCCAATATTGTTATTTTTTTGTTACAATCATCTTTTGTATTATACTTAATAAAGAAGTATGAAAAATGGTATAAAATAAGTTGTTTTTTTATGGTTTTTGACGAATTGTTGTTGAAGAACTGGAGACTGGAGTATCTATTTAAATGTAATTTCTTACCACTAAATAGTGGTCATGTTCAGTGCATATTAAATATGTTTAGTTAATGGAAGCTAAAAATATTTAATTTTGTCAAACCGATAATAATTAATATAGTAAGCCATATCATAATGACTTTCATTATTTACATTTGTTCATATATAATATAGTAGTTTTTATATATACTATATAATATGCAAGTTTAACTAACTCAGATTCAATATTGTTTACCAAAGTAATAAATGTAAGTTTTAATGAGTTTTTGTGAAATTTTGTATTTAAAGTTATAAAATATAAATTTGTACTATCTGAGCAATATCAACATTATGATAAAATTCACTGCTATAAAATTTAATCTTAAACTCAACCTAATTTGTTGTATCTTAAGTATAATATTTTACTTGCCCTTTTTTAAATTTTTTGTATTTTTTAAACCATACTCTGAACATAAGCACCATGGGGTTAAAGTCTTATTACATTTTAATTCTATATCCAACACTAACGTAGGAACACCATCTATGAGCAATTCATGTTTCTTTTTTACAAAATAGTTTACATTATGTAATCCAGTGTGTCTATCACGTTTTCTTGTTACTTCGCGTTGGTTATAGCATTTTGTCATATCACGTTTTCTAACAGTTCGATCATGGTTGTGTCTGAAAAATACAAATTAAACATACATTTTACCAACAATTTCTCGTTAAAAATATGTATCATCATACAAATTGATTCTCCCACCTGAATGTATTTGACGTGCCTGTTGTTAAATTTCCTGGTCTATGAATACCTATCTTGGCTTCCTTAAGACGTAAATAGAACTCATCATCTTCAAGTCCCCAACCCCAATAATTGTTGCTTAAGCCATCAATTTGTATAAAGTCTTCTCTATTCATATTATAAAGACGCCAAATTAATCAACATATTATTTAAAATTAAAAAATAAATAACATACTTGGTAATAAGTAGAATGCCACCCACAAATGAAGCATAATGGTAACGTGGATGTAAATGAGGTGCAGCTATGTGGTTAACATGGCCAGTTGGAGGATAATGATAATCAAGTGCAGGGTTAAGAGGAAATAAATCAACATCATGCATAGCTATATAATCGATCATGCTGTATGAGGACATTATTTCTTTAAACCCAGCATTGATCAATGAACCTCTGTTAAAACGGTACTGATCAACCTGAATGGTAAATAAAAAAGAATATTTTTAAACTTATTATAATCATATTTGAATATAATAGTTTAATTACTTGGTTGATAACAAATATCTCGTGGAGTACATCTTGGTTTTTCAGGAATGAATGAATGTGTGGCACAAATTCTAGGAGCTCATCAAACCTTTCTCTAAATGGTATTACGATGCCCAATTTATTACCCTTAAACATGGTAGAAGCCTGTTCACGTAATCGTATATTTCCGCCATTCTCAAGTTCTCCTAAAAAAAATTCAAGTAGGTAACTATTAAAACTAAAAATAATACCAATAAACTTAACCAATTGTTTAACATTTCATACACATTCATTAAGTAATAATAATTAATATGTAATATAGGTACTTACGCACATACAACAGTGACAATAATAGAGTGATTACCAAAGTTAGTATGATTCCAATTAATAAAATTTTTGCTTTAAACATCATGATTATAAAATGTGTATTGATTATTGAATTTCTAAAGATTTCGTTACAACATTCATAATTCAGTAAGAAGACCAGGTCACCAGGAACATTGGAAGTGGTACACGACAAGTGGAAAAGTCTTTACGAGTTTGGAAGATTTTTTACTTATTTGATTGCAACTACTACTTTAATTTAAACTATTCCAATTTCAATTTTACTGAAAGTACATTTAACCCGATCGAAACATTCAGAAATTAATTGTAAATTAATCATTGTAAATTAAAAATGTTTTCTCTTCCTAATATAATTAGGGAAATATAATCATTTAGAGCGAGTTTATCCGCGAGTCGTGATGTAAAACTCCAAAATATTCAAACATTTCAAACATTCCTAACATTCGAAAGCAAATGAATAATAAGAAAATTGAAAATTGATAATAAAAGATAATTTGTTATCTACCTGTTTAATATTTACTCTGGTCGTGGTTTAAGAATAGTTATTAAACTCTGGTAACCGTTCGTAAAATAAGAAATTTTCTTTCATGAAATAAAATAAATCCCTCCAAGACGTAGTTGTACGTCTAACCTATAATTTGGTTATTTACCATTTAGTTGTTAACGTTTTTGGCGGCAAAAGTATTATTGCATTGTTGTTGGTTATTCTCGTTGCTTTTGCACAGTATTACAGTTTACGTCTATCGTTTTCGTTTGTTCTGATTTCCGTTTGATTGTAAATGGTTCACGTTAGTTGTTTCATTTGTACTTTCTACGCGGTGTAAGTTTTTCCGGTCTTACGGTTTTTCCGGGTTGTCCAGAAAACAAATAGTTCTACAAATGTAAGTACGATTTTGTTGATTTTGTCACACAATAATATGATGTACCTGATATATAGGTTGTAAATTATGTATATTACAACTTTTAAATTTATAACCATTTATGTTAAAATGTGAAATAATGTGTTATGTGAAAGAGTATTAGTATTGTTATGTAGGCACTTATATAGTCCGTAAACAATTTTACTAAAATACCCTGCCATCTTTTAATCTTTATTTGGTAGGTAATAGACACTAGTTATACACTTTAGGTTGATTGGGTTGAATAAATATATAAAAATATACGGAAGTGAACTCCGTTTACGATGATTAATAACTAACGAATAATAGGTACTCGATAGATTTTTATTAGTATGTTCAATCAGTTGTAATTGTGGTGCAGGGCGATTGCTAAAGTAATTTAAATATATTTTTGATTTATCATCAATCAATTATCCATTTTTTAAATGCCAGATCTATAACCTATAGTATTTACATAATGAAATTTATTCTGCTTTACATTTACTTACGATTACGTTTTTTTTTAAACTTCGTAAATCTTCTTTCTGTCGATTCATTAAGCTGTATAATATGGACCTATTTTAAATAGATTGATGTATTTATATTTGAATGACAATACTTAATTCATAGTACCTACCCATTCATATTAAAAAAATAAAAGTTTGAAATTGAATTGTGAGTGAAAAACTACCTATTAAGGCATTAAATTAATGAGGTCATATTATAAAAGTCATTTTTTTCTGAAATGAACATATGTTCTATCTAATACTTACTATAGATTTGTGTTATTGTCTTGGAATACCCGGGAATACCTTAATGTTTTCTAAAAATGCAGGTTAATCATTGACACAACTATATATACATTTTAGCGAGTGCTAAAATTGTTCATAGTCTACAAGGACATAATGGACATATAGTTGAGGAATACCCATCAAATCAATAGTCATCTCAGATTCTTTATAAATGTTAAAATTAGATACTTAGACATTTTGTAACTAGGTACCTATTATTAACTTTTTTGGTATATTTTTCCTTGTACATATTACAAATATATAAATATGCATTATTTTTTGGGAAGTCAAGTTAAACGTTGTTTTACATTTTGCTATTATTAAATCAAATATAAATTGTACGAATCATAAAAAAAAAAAATATATATAAATAGGTAAAAATCTATTTCATGGAACAGAGGATTCAAAATTGTATTTTGTATTTAAAGCAGTTTAGGCGTTTTTAGAGAATTTGGTGGTCATTTGATTAGTTTAATTTTTAATTTATACACTATAGGTACTGCTATCTAGATTAAACTTCATTGGTAGTTCAAAATATTAGTTAAAGAAATTTTGTTTCGACCATTTACCATTTGTCAATCGTAATACTAATGATTTTGATACGTCGATAATGTCTTTATCTATTTACAGTCGAGGACTCATACCAGTAATAACTTATAGGTCAGTTGCTGTTACATTGTAATCGAGTTTATTTCCTCAAGTTCTGTGGTAATTATTATTATCAAATCATTTCACAAGTGTTATAATATTTCAAAACTAATGAATTTGAACAATCGGGAAACACAATACCTATTTATTAAAACTGAATTGGGAAGACAGATTAACACTGGGATTGCTGTCGACGCCTATCGTACTGATGGTTAGGCGGGTATCCCCTACTTGGAGTCGGGACTCTAGTAGGAGATTGTATGGATTTTCCCTACATTTTGCTTTAAGTGAAGTGTATTTGATAATATTAGTAGAAATTGTACTTACCAAAATATACAACTAGCTATAAAAGCGTATAAAGTTTCGATAACAAAATTAATTTATTATAAAAAGTAAAATAACCAATATAAAACTATATCTATACATCCCGAATCGGAAATTACAAATTGTTTCCACCAGAGCGCGTTTTTTTAATCTGCTTCCCCAATAGGCATCTATATAAAAATTAAATATTAGGTATGGCTTGGATTTTTGGGGATGCTAAGACTCCTAGCACCCCATTATTTGTGCTTATGAAGCTAATACAAATACAGACTAACTATGCTGTTATTTAATTACTAGTTATATAATTGCTGTTGTAGATTTTATTTTACAAATTATAATATTATTTTAGATATTATGTATTATATACATAGGTATTTATGTATTTAAACTATAAAGTAGCAATATTATTCAAGAGTAAATTTATTAGTGCGCTCAGTTTACAATTTATATAGATTTTCATATCCTATTGTGTAGTGCTGAAAAAAATTGACTTAAACTTCTTCTACTGGATCAATAAAGATACATACCTACAATAAAAAATTATGTAAGGCTTCTTTAACCTATTATAAATATTAATAAGACTTATTTCCTATTTTTATATATTTTTTTTTAGTTTTGAAAATGATGGACGATGATATTGAACAAAGACTTAGAGATATCCAGAAGGAATATCTGAGTTTTCTAGATGATGAAGAAAATCAAAATGTATACCACAAAAAGGTGAAATTAATGATTGATGAAAACGGCCAAAGACTACTAATAGACATCAATGATTTACGTAAAAAGAATCCTAATAGAACTCATGAATTATTAACAAATACTTTTGAAGAACAATTTGCTTTGGAGCGTGCACTTAAAGAATATGTTGCAAATATTGATTCTACTTATGCCAATAAATATGATGAATTTTTTGTTGCATTTGAAGGTAGTTTTGGAAGTCGGCATGTCACACCTAGGACTATGAATAGTAAATTTTTAGGAAATTTAGTGTGTTTAGAAGGCATTGTTACAAAGTGTTCTCTGGTTCGTCCCAAAATTGTAAGAAGTGTACATTTTTGTCCGGCTACTAAAAAAACAATAGAGCGCCGTTACACAGATTTGACATCAACATCTGCTTTTCCATCTAGTTCTGTATATCCAACAAAAGATGATGATGGTAATCCATTGGAAACTGAATATGGTCTTTCTGTGTATAAAGATCATCAGACATTAACAATTCAAGAAATGCCTGAAAAAGCACCAGCTGGGCAATTGCCACGCTTTGTTGATATTGTATGCGATAATGATTTAGTTGATTGTTGTAAGCCGGGTGACCGAGTACAAGTGGTTGGTAGTTATCGTTGTCTTCCTAATAAACAAGGAGGTTATACAACTGGAAATTTTAGAACTATTGTCATTGCTAACAATATATCACAGTTAAGTAAAGATGCAACATATTCTGTTAGTAGAGACGATGTTTTCAACTGTAGAAAATTATCAAGAAGGAAGGGTGATATATTCAATTTATTGGCTCGATCATTAGCACCTTCTATTCATGGTCATACTTTTATTAAAAAAGCAATTCTTTGTCTATTGTTGGGCGGAATTGAAAAAATTTTACCTAACGGAACACGTCTGCGTGGAGATATAAATCTTTTATTAATTGGTGATCCTAGTGTTGCAAAATCCCAATTACTAAGATATGTATTATGTGCTGCTCCAAGAGCTGTAGCCACTACAGGCAGAGGAAGTTCAGGAGTTGGTTTGACTGCTGCTGTCACTACAGATCAAGAAACTGGTGATCGGCGATTAGAAGCTGGAGCTATGGTACTTGCTGACAGAGGTGTTGTGTGTATTGATGAATTTGATAAAATGTCTGATATAGATAGAACAGCTATTCATGAAGTTATGGAACAAGGCAGAGTATCTATTTCAAAAGCTGGTATACATGCAAGGCTTAATGCCAGGTGCTCTGTTTTAGCTGCTGCTAACCCTGTGTATGGTAGATATGATCAATATAAAACTCCAATGGAAAACATAGGTCTGCAAGATTCATTACTATCTCGGTTTGATTTATTGTTTGTCATGTTAGATGTACCTGATAGTGAAAATGATCGTTTGATATCGGAGCATGTTGTTCGTATTCATAGATACAGAGATCCTAAAGAACAAGATGGTGAAGCGTTACCAATGGGTTCAGGTGTGGATATTTTGAGCACTAGAAATTTGGAAATTGATGAGAATGATCCATCTAAAACTAGGATGTTTGAAAAATATGAACCGTTGCTTCATGGACCGCAAAACCATAAATCAGACCAAACTTTAAGCAGTCAATTCATGAGAAAATATATACATATTGCTAAGTGTGTTAAGCCTGTGTTGACCGAGGAAGCGTCTAATGAAATATCCGAAGAATATTCTAGACTTCGCTCTCAGGAAGCTGTTGAATCTGATGCTGCAAGGACTCAGCCTGTTACTGTCAGAACACTAGAAACATTAATTCGTCTTTCTACTGCTCATGCTAAAGCTCGTTTGTCCAAAAATGTTGAACAACAAGATGCCCAAGCAGCAATTGAGCTTGTTCAGTTTGCTTACTTTAAAAAAGTATTAGAGAAACCTAAAAGAAAACGGCATGTCAGTGATGAAGAATCTGGAGATGAAAAAGATTCACAAGATAAACCTCCAAAAAGAAAATCGAAAAAAAATGATGACGATCCTTACTCATTTGAAGACGGGGAAGAAGAAGAGATTGATGCTGCTGAACCAGAAGCTATGGAAGTAGATACAGAGAATTCAGGAACACTGAGAGGAGGTCCACCCGCAGTATCACAAACATCAATCACTCCAGATAGGTATAAAGTATTTAAGTCAACATTGAGTAAAGTTTTTCAAAAACATAGATCACAATCATTGGGTTTTAAACGCATGCTCACTATGATAAATGAAGAACATGTGGCAGAAACTTTTACTGAAAATGAAGCTTATGCTGCTATTTATAAAATGATGGATGCTAACTTCATAATGTTTTCAGATGGAATTATATTTTTAATATAGAATGTAAGTCTATATTGAGTATTTTCCAAAATAATTTATTAACTTTCAATTTGTACAAGACGTAATAAAATTAAATAATTATTTATAATTTATAAGTTTAAATTTAATTTCCAAAATTTAAATTGTTTAGTTTAGTTTTTTTTATAAAATATTAATGTCTAATTAATTCTTTCGAAAAATTGTTTAACTGTAAAAATAAATAAATACATACTTATGTTTAATTTTACATTTAGTGATTATTCATATTAATTAGTTTAGTTATTGAAACTTACTATACTAGATATATAAATGTTTATTGTATATAGATTATAGATAAAATGTAATATTATATAAGTATCGACAGAAAACGATTGTGGACATTTTCTTAATTGTTAAAATGTGAAAGGTGTCAAAAGAATTTTAAAAAAAAAAGAGAATAATAAATTGGTATGTAAGTTATTATACCTATTATTAAAATATTTGTAATATTAGTATTTAAAACACAGGACAATAGTATATTTTTATTTTTTTTATTTACAATTGAAAAATTCAGCATTAAAATACATTTTTTAAATATTTTGATATTTTGTACTGATTTATTATCTATTTATTGATTAGTTACTTATACATTGATATTTGATATGCAATGTTTTGTTACCTTTTATATTGGTCTTTTCTACTGTTTATTTAGACATGGTGTATGCTTAATTTGTATTGAATAATACATTATGTGACTTACGTTTTCATTATTTCAAAGCACGTTCTAAATAACAGTTATTTTTGTTGATTATGTTAGTATAAAAATGTACCTAATACATGAAAACATAAAATGTGCTGTATGTATCATGACGTGTAATCGGTTTGCAATTGTAGTTTGTACTATAAGTACCTAGTTATGTAGTTTGAGGAGTTAACTATGGCAATTGGTTTTACTTGGTTTATTTCGCTGTTTATGTAAGTAGACAATATATCTAATTTATTTTTGAAAGCACAGAAACTAATGTTTTGCTTTAGAAAAATTAAAATATACATTTATACCACCATCGCAGATTAGTTTCTTGTAATCATTGTATTGATTTCAACCATTATTTAGTGGTGTTCTTAGACCAATTTCTAAGGGGTTTAGAGTAAACTATGATAATATGCTCTTCTAGCATCCTTCATACATAATATAATGATGCTGTAATACTGTGACAAAAAAATACCTACCTTTAATTCTTGCTTCCTGTCAAATTCGTTGACAGTGCACTAACTAATAAATGATGGCTTAGTATACTTGATAGCAATATTGCTACATTTAATAAAGTATACAGTATACTCTCTGTCTTCTGAGCCCTGAAAGCTACGTCTCTATTTGCGTCTATTTCGCAACTGAATATATTCACACTCACAATAATAAAGTATATACTATAGACAAATTATAATTGGGGAAAACTGTATGAATCTGGTTTGAATCACGGACCAAGAGTAAATATCCGAGAGTGGTCATTTTTACAATTGCTCGCATGGATATTGTTCTCGTGTATTTTAGATTTATGAGTATCACATTTTAGCATACTGGGTGCATTTTTTTATCGAGGACATTTATTATTTTATTTCAAGGTTTTGGAAAATATTTCTTAATATTTACTTTTTGAATGACAACATATATTTTTATTTTTTATTCCAAAGTAGGATATTTTTCGGAGTACTTCGATACATAAAAATTGAACTTTAGACGGGTAGCTTATAAATAGAGTGGAGTAGATGTATCCCGCAAAATTTTAAAATGTTGATCTACTACTCTGCTCATTAATACTTAAAATACTTATAATTATATACTCATATACGATACTGATACAAAATTCGATTTTTATGTAAAGAAATTCTCCAAAAAGTATTCTGCTTTGGAATTAGAAATTAAAAATATATTTTGTCATTAAAAAAAAATGTGAAAAACTTTATACAATGATACGCATTAATACTTAATAATAATGTTATTTAAAAAAAGGTGCTCTGCTGTACGGTAGGTTACAAGTGGGTCACTGTAAAATGGATGGTATTAAATTTGAATTCATTGATATAATATCATTGTATAAAAAACCATTCTGAGCGGAGATATACCATATAATTAGAAAATCTCCCAGACGATGCCGTGTATTACTAGCCAGCCAGTTCTCATCGATCTCAATTATTTGATTGAGTGTGCTATTTACAAATTCATTATTTGCTGGAAATACTATACCTGCCAAATCTGGAAACCCAAAACTAGTATTGTTGTAGGTATAAGATCTACGGGGGCCAGCGTAAGACTCGGGATAATAATATTACCGGGACCCACAGATATATATAATAATTATCAAAGCTGGACAAGTTAACTATTTTTTTTAACTCGTTAACTTAAGTTAATTTAGAAAAAGGTGCTTTGCTGTACAGTAGGTTACAAGTGTGTTGCTGTTTAATGGATGGTATTAAATTTGAATTCAATGATATAATATCATTGTATAAGAAAAACGATTCCGAGAGGAGACGGCATGTCAGTCTATGTATAAGACATATTATATACTTATCTATGGTATTAAAAATTGACCTATAATAGGTACCTATAATAAATTCCAAATTAATCATATCACAATATCCATTAGGTACTTATAACGCGTTGTACATCAACAACAAACCCTGATACTATCATAGATATATAATAGTGTACTTTAGAAGTTTCAAGTACCCACGATTCACGAATAATATTATAAAATCACAACAAAATAACTAAAATAGTTATTCTAGGTTTTTTATTATGTAATTTCGTCCAAATTTGAACTTAAAATGACAATAAAAATAAACTGTGCTTATGTATTTTTTAGATTTTTTGGTAACAGAATTAACTACTTATGTGGAATCTTGTTTTAAATTTTCAATCCTTAGATATAAAAGTTGAACAATTTATACATTTTTAACTACAAAATAATTATTCAATTTTAAATTTGATAAATTTAAAAAAATTTGATCTTTAAATGCTTATAAAAAAAAATTGTGCCTATGTATTAATATTTGTCAACTGATATTGTAACAATATATCAAAAGCCCTGTATTAAGTTTTTACGTATTTTGGCCTAAAAGATAAAACTTGATTGATATTTATAGATAAAAATACTAAAAAATTGAAAACTGAAAATGTCCGTAAATAGCTCAAAAAGAGTCAAAATAGTTTCAAAATTGGATGTTGTATAGGTGATGCTAATATAAACATTCAGTAACATTTTCATGTATCTACAGTTATAGAATTTGAGTTACAACAAAATAAGGAAATCGCTACATGAGAAATCGAGTGAATAACCAATGTTGTAAAAATTTGAATTTCAAACTCTCATAAAAATTTAAGTTGACTTTCTTATGGACATTTTTTTTGATAAAGGTAGATAATCTTATATATGGAATCTTGTATTACATTTTAAAATCTTAGATTTTAAGAGAAACATTTTTGCAAATTCTGAACTCAAAATAGTTTATAATTTTCGTGATATTTCCATATTTTGTCAATTTTTGAACTTTAAATGCTTTTAAAAAAAACTGTGACTTAGGATTTTTAATATTTTTCATCTGCTTTTGAAACAATATACTAGGAGTCTTCTATTAAATTTTCAAGCCTTTTTAACTAACAAATAAAATTTTATTGATATTTTTAGAAAAAAAAATGGAAAATGAAAATGTCCCTAAACAGTTCAAAATAAATCAAAATATTTTGAAAATGTTATCGCGTATAGAAAATGCAAATATAAACAACTAGTGAAAATTTCATGTATCTACATTAATTTGTTTTAGAGTTCACCAAAATTCCCGTTTTTCCCTAATTTTTATGTTGTTTTTCCTGGCGCTTGTGAAAACTATTTTAAAATTTGACCTCTCCAATGCACCAATGTTATTCACTTTCCAATCGAACAAGATACTGAATTTGAAAATCGAAGCTTATTTCGACTTCTTATCGTGTACACAGACACAAAAATAAAAAAAAAAAACACACATCATTGTAAAATCAATACATTCATCGTTCCACTCAGAATCTAAAAAATGTTACATGTAAAAAAAATATTTTAAAAGTTGACTGGTAGTTATACGTTATTAAAATAATAAGCTAGTGTTTTTTGATAAAAAAAAGTCATAATAATATACTCTATAGCCATTAGCCCGCATAGATAACATTTATTTGTAATTTTCTGAAGTTAGGTAGGTATTCAATAGTAATGAGGAATGACTAACAATAGGTTTGTACGTTAAAATAATATGTTTATAACAACCACAGCGGACAGGTGTCTTGTCGCCGTTGGTATTCGCACTATTGATTTGAATTTTGTCGACAGAAAACGGACAGTTAAAAAAATATTTTATATTGGTAGATATGAATAATATTAATATTCGGGTATAATATGAAAATACACGTTCGTATAGTGTTCATAATATTAAATGTATGAAAATGGGATTGCGTAACGGATATACTTCGCGATATTGGCGACGATGATTTATTTCGAATGCGAACTGCAGTGTTGTTACGCCGTGCGCGTTTTTTATTTTATTCAATTTCGGGTTTGACTCGACCGCGTCGGTTTCTTTGTACTGTAGTTGGTGGTGTTTGTTATTCCCGCGGTGGTCGACGTTAGCAGTTTCTCGTCGAATACCACAGAATATTATATCCGACGGTTCTCATCAGTCATCAGTTTCATCGGTTGTCATCGATAGCGCTCGGTTATGTCGCGCGTCACCTCCAACTAAACTCCGCTGTCCATTCGAATATAACACCCCGTCTACTCAAGTTATTTTAGTTATTAACTAAATAGTATCAGTATCGGACGAAAAACTGACCGTCGATCACTCAAAAAAAATAAATATACTTTCGTGCCGGTGCGGCATAGTTGAGTGTAATTTGTGAATATTGTTCAACTAACGATAACCCCGCGTATGGATTTACCCAAGTAAGTACCAACTACACCTATACTCGTGTCTAAGAACTTCTTACAGTATAGGGCGTCCGGATTTAAATAACCGTACAAATTCCCTAAAACAATGCCCTTGAACACGACTTAAAATTATTTTTCACAATAAATCAATTTAATGGTACTTTAATAATTAACGAAGTTTAATATCAGAGATTAAACAATAATAATGTTAATATTGAAAATTACTTAACTGTTATCGTACTTAAAACTTATTATTCATTCTAAATACACAAAATTAAGAAAAAAATTTAAATTCATATAAGTTAAAATTAAAATTAAAAAAAATATGTTAAATTCTGTATTCAACTATTTTATACCTGTTTAATTATGAGAATTTCATTGAACCTAACAATTTTTAAAAAATTTGTAATCACTTTATTATCATTTTACACTAAAAATTCAAAAAAATTTTATATAGGTATACCTCATGAACTTACACTATGATAAAATTACCTATACAAATGCTATATAAAAGCTTAAGTTTCACTTTTGAAGTATGTATTGCAATGTTACATGAATTTAATAATTAAATAATTAATTAAAAAAATGAATAATTATTATGCATTCGGAAGTAGGAACGTACCTGTTGTTCTAAAGCGCCCTCTCCCAAAAAAGAAGATGAAATGCACTGTATTTAAATCCTGGCTCTAATTATTATCAGAAATAGTCGGGACTTAAAACTTAAATTATCTTTTTTGGGATAACAGCTAGATAGTTTGTAGTTTGCACATATTAGAGGGGTGTTGGCAAAAAACACACTAGGTTTTTTTTTATGAATTTGTTTTGATATTTATGTGTACTGGTTTTATTTATATAAAATTAAAAATAAATAGGTACATTTTTATTGATTTATCTAATCTATTAATTCATTACAGTTAGTTTTTAATTTGAATGAGCAATGGACATGGAGTATAATGGTACTACCTACCTATGTATTGAGAGGACTTTGTCTTCGAAACAGGCTTGTGAAACATATACATTATTTTAGCACTCCAACTATATACACTTAAATGTGCGCCTATATGGTACAATCGCTTTAATAGTTTCAATCTAGAATTGTTTTTAAATGCATTGGTTTATCATTTTTATTGTTTGTAATTGCATCCGAATTAATTATGATTAGTCATTACACAAATATAATACTATAGTATTTGGTCCAATTCGACCAACTTCCATATTTCAGCTGATTTTCTTGTTTTTGTTTTGGTACTCGGAAGCTACTGCCTACTACAGCTATATAGTATATATACAATACCTATTACATTATTTATGATTAACTTGAGGTTTAACGTTGAACTGAAGTCTACTACAGTACTACCTATATATTATTATAATTTATTTGATGAATTCATTTTTACCATATTAAAATTCAAGTTTATACCTCCGTGTACGTCGAATTTACAACTGTTTCGAACTTGTTACATGTGTTTTTGTGATTTGCATTTTCTAAATGACATTGTAACTTAACTCTGACTGTATTGTATTTATATATAGACGCATTATAATTGTTGTTCAAACAGAAACGTTATGAATATTAAATTTTATTTCTTACTAAAAATAAAATGTATTACTCGTAATTTTTCGTTATTCGTTATTCGGTGTTCGTATTTTTTTAAATGTAGGTAATAATGATTTAATTTAGCCGTGTAATTTTTGGATTAACGTGAGTTGTGGTTATTTTTAATTGTTACCAAGTTAAATTTAAAAAAGTAGGTAGGTAGGTATATACACCAATATTTAAGAGAAATCAAATTTCTTTAAAACTGGCAAAACTGTGTTAAGGCCATTTTACTTGCCACTTAGGGTTTACGAAGGTTTAGTCTACTGTTTTTACTTTATAATTCAGACAAACCTGTATAGGTACACAGTAATACATGATAAATTAATAATACTATACTAATAATAAACCGTTTTAAAATGTACATTTTTCATTCTTAGTGAAATAGTAGGTAATTTCTATATGTATCCCTGTATAGCCGTACAATGGCGTAGGTATATATATATATATTTTTTTAATAAAGTTACATTAGCGTGTTTGTATATAAGATTTGCTTGATATTTTTAATGGCACTGCAACTCCTAAATACAAATTGTCATACCTACCTACATATTTTGTTATTATTTAACTTAATAAATTTTCGAAGAAGTATAAAAAGGGTTTTTAAATTGTCCCCATAGTCCATGTTCATCCGAACTCTATGATTACTGACTTGGTACATCTAATAATTTTCCAGAAAATTCAGGTTGCTGCTCAAAACATAAATAGACCACAAATATTCCGTCGATAAATAAAAGGAATGTATTCTTCAAAGCGCGATAGGTACATGTATATTAAAAAAAAAAAGAAATAATATGCCATCTCCCATGATTTCATATAAGAACGAATTTTTACGTATCTACAGATTGTATTTTTATACATATAAAAAAAGTTTTATAACTTGATACCTAATAGCTAAAAGCGTTCGAAAATTAATTTTAAAAAATGTATGTTAATTGTCTAAAGTTGTGGTTTGCAATCAGGATGAAGTATAATATTTTGTATATATTTAGGATTTAATATTGAATCAATAAAGTAGGTACTATAGACAGGCCCCCCACGGTCCTGCATCAAATTTTTGGGCCCTGTACTAAGTTTCTTTCGGGCCCTATACTAAACTTCCAAAAAAATACAACCCTATACAGTCCTGGTACTATATTTAATTAACTGTGTAATAAACAATTAAAATATTAAATTAGCATAGGTAATGTTAATCGAAACTGTTAATTGCGTGGATAATTAAAATACAATTGGAAACTAATAAAATAAAGATTAGAGTAGTAAGTATAATATACATTTTGTTAATAATTTTAGGAAGTAGCATTTAATAAAATAATAGGTAAAACAAATAACAATTACCCGTTGTATTATATAAATTATTTTATTACCTACCTACAGATATTATTTAGATGTCAAATGTAAACGTACTAATGTTATACCTCGTGTTATACATGTTTGTATGTAATAATAATGTAAGTACATAGTTATTTTTTTATATTTATATTTATTTTATGATCAAATTCTATTAGGTACTTAACTTAATATAATGTAAATATATAAATACGAGGTATACGTAGGTATATATCATTATTCATTATATACATATAATACATATTAACATTTTTTAATTAGAGGAGAAAGTGTAATAGCGGTCCACGGTTGGCTTAAAATAATCCTAAAATTTAAAATAACGTCTTTTGAGGTGCACTTTCCAAACAATTAACACATATTTTTCAATTATATATGAAACTTGTGAAAACTATTAGCACTGAGCAAAAGAAAATATAATTTTTTTCCTTATCTGATACAATCAACTTTGTTAATTTCGTTTCTTTATAGATATTAAAAAAAAAATTAATTTTTCACTAATTTTTTTATATTTATAAACGTACTTACACAATTTTACATGTTGAATACAGTTTTTAAAAGGTCATTTTTTTATATTTTTAAGGCACTTATTAGAGGTTTCTTGTCATAAATACTTTTTTTGATATTTTGGGGATATAAATCCGAGCCCTAGTTATAACTAATTCATTATATAAATGATAAATACATAAATGGCAATATTATAAAAAAATTGTTTTGTTTTTCAACTATGTAGATTAAAAATAACTTAAAATTATGTAAATAAAATATTTCTTAAACGTTTTGACATAATACAGAGTGTGCACTCTCGTACATAGTATTATGGGTTTCTTAAAAATACTATTTTACAATATAGAACCCAAATGTTGTTCCACCGCGGTTGCAAATTAAACATTTAGAATAGTTAAGTAAATTTTTGCTTGTATAAATGTATACTTAAAATTAGATTAAATTGGAAGAGGTTAAACCATGCTTGTTTGGCGTAAACCGGTCATTACTTTCTCTTTAGTTGACATATTGGGTATCTTGTGTCATGGTATTCAACACTAAAATAGAGTTTGCTTATATTAGGATTATAGAGTATATATTATACACCTCTACATGGTTACTTGTTCCTATAGGACTTGGATTTATATGCAATAATAAATGATAAAAATGCAAAAACAAGTTTTTAGATTATATCAAACTTACTAATTTGTACATAAATTGCTTACAATTATATAGATATTGATCAAAATATACAAAAAACTTGAATTTTTTTAAATTGAGAATGAATTATCCGTGTACATAATATATAGTTGATAACCATTCAATTTGGATTCAAAGAAAAACTCATGCGAATATATAGATTATAGAACATACATATATGTATAATAATATATGCAATAATACAATACCGTATATTCAAAAACAGAATATTTTTCTGATTATTTTAATACATAACAATTGAATTTAGGGCAAGTAGTTTATGAGTTATAAGTATTTAAAGTTTAGATGAGCGGAGTAGAGGACAAACATTTCGCGGGGTAACCCCGTACCACTCTACTCCGCTCATCTAAACTTTAAATACTTATAACTCATAAACTAATTGCCCTAAATTCAATTTTTATGTATCGAAATACTCAGAAAAATATTCTGTTTTTGAATATCAAATTAAAATTAGATGTTGTCATTCAAAAAAGTAAAAAACTTAAAAAATTAAAAGGATAAAAAATATTTAAAAATATAATTTTTTAATAAAAATATTGTTTTTTAACAACTTGAAACTATGTAAAAAATATTTTCTTAAACATTAATACTTTTTGAAATAATGAGTGTTCTTCGATAAAAAAATCACCCTGTATATATATCTTCGCACTCCTTGTATAAAATAAATTAAGCATGAAGTTTTAATGGCGTGTGATAAATTAAAATAGGTATATTTTATATTGTGTCTTGAGTCAATACGCTGTATTTTATATTTATATATAATATTAGCTATTAAGTACCTACCAACCAATGTCCTATATATATTATAAGTAATACTTCGAAACTCACACAAAAAAATTAGATAAGACGCTAAGGTTATTTTTTA